GATGGCAGCTTCCTAGCTTTTAAGGTCCCAGTCGCTACTTGCCAAAGTAGTAGGTGGAACAATGTTTTGTATAGTATGTTATGCCAGTTGAGCTTGATGTCCCCTGTGATTTATTTTTAAAAAGATTCCCACTGGCTGCCTGGAGGAGAACTGGGAAAGAGGAGGGCAGAGCTGGAGACTAGCAGAGATGGGGGCTGGGCCAGGGTGGGATCAACAGGGGTGGAAAGAAGTGACCAGACTCAGAACCCAACCTGAAGGTTATCTGATGGCACTTGAGGAAGGATCAGATGTGGGGATGCCACAGAGGAATGAGGACAGACTTGGAGATTTTGGTTTGAGCAACTGGGTGGATAGCAGTACACTTTTCTTGGTGGCAGAACATTTGGGGAAAGAGAATCCAGACTCGATTTTGGCAGTTAGGTCTGAAATGCCCGAGACATGCTGTGAGGAGGGAGGAGGCAGGTGGGTTCTTGGGGCCAGGATAGGGACAGCGGAAGCCATCAGCCTAAGCAAGTGGACTGAGTTGTCTGTGGCCATTGAGTGCAGACAGACAGAGGAGGCGAGGGCTGCACTCAGGCAGAGGCTGGTGAGGAAAAGTGTCAGGGGCAGGGTTAGCAGGGGGTCCAAATTGGCCAGGGTCTTCATACTTCCCCAGCCCGGAGAGCTTGGTCCCCTAGGTACCTAGTGACACATGACACTAGGGCATCCACCCAGACATCCTGGGCCTCCTGGGGCAGGGACCCCTCATCACAGGCAGCTGCTACCCGCTGGTGACATTTCATTCCTTGTGCATCCTGGCTTCAAAGTCTCTGCAGGGGTGGGGGAGGAAGAGGAGGGGGTTGGAGGCCAGGCTGGTATGTGGGGAGGGCCTGAGCCAGAGCGTGGCTGGCGGCAGATCAGGAAGCCGGGTATTTGCCAACCGGAGTCCTCAGCTGAGGTACAAGGGGTCGGGGAGTGGCCACCCCTCCCCCACAGCCCCCAAGGGACCCAGAGGAGGTATGGGGACCCTCAAGTGCCTGGGGCTCAGGGTCTAAGGTTGGGCCTTCTGCCCACACCCCTGCTCACCCTCCCCTAGATGTCTGGCAAGGTGGCCATTGGCAGTGACATTGGGCAGGCCCGTCGGGCTGTGGAGCAGCTGCGGATGGAGGCAGGCATCGAGCGCGTGAAGGTGAGGGCTGGGGCAGGGCGGGAAGTAGGGGTGAGGTCAGGGCACATCTGGGCTGAGGGGGCAGGTGAACAGCCAAGTCTGGCTGACTGGGTTGGTCTGCAGGTGTCCAAGGCAGCCGCCGACCTGCTGCGGTTCTGCACGGAGCAGGCCAAGAGCGATCCCTTTCTTGTGGGCATTCCAGCTGCCACCAACCCCTTCAAAGAGAAGAAGCCCTGCACCATCTTATGACTCTCTAGCCCTGTGACCCCGGGCATCTCAATAAACATGAAATGAATGCTCCTCAGGAGATGGCTTGTCTGGGCTGAGACAGGGGTACAAGGGGGGGCTGTGGTCATGCAGGGGCCAGGCGCACGGCTCCCGCCCCCCATCTCCAGGGTCATCACCACAGCAGCACACACACACCCTGGACACTCTGAATAAGAGAATGCACACCTAACCCACCCTTACCCCACACCTATGGGATAGTGTGCTTGGCTTCACACTCATCCTGTGCAGACACACCCCAGGGTAGAGTTACAACCTGCACAGTCACACATCTCACACATATACACACGTTTCTCAGAGGTACACATATCACACACGTTTCACACTCTCCCACACAGCTCTCTCTCTCTCTCTCACAAACACACACACACATGCACACCCTGTGTCTCACACAGAGAGAGGTGGGAACATGGAAACAAGCACCCAATCCTCAAGTCTCTCTTCCTCACATACACACATACACACACACACACACACACACACAGGCCTGCAAATGCACACACAGGTTTACCAGAGCATCAGACACAGCCAAATCTGCCTACCCAGTGACACACAAACACACCTGGTCACTCGTGATACGCAAATGCACTCATGGCGGGCACAGGTGCACACAGACATAAGTCATGGGAACAAGCATTCATGCATCCATGGCTTTCAGGCCAATCCCACAAACATACACCCAGCCCTTACCCGCTGTGTCTCCAAGCAGACACTAACAGAGCCCCAGGGGCTATACCACGTTCACAGTAACACAACATCAGGTTTATTTTTTCTTCCCTCTCAACTTCTCAATAGAGAGGAAGGCGTCCAGATCATAACAAAAACAGGGCCCGAGAGTGGGGAGCAATGCCCTGGATGGACCAGAACCCCAGTGTCACTACCACTGGCATGGGTCCCAGCCCAGGGACCCCAGCCTGACCATGGCCGGGACTCCTTGGTGCCCAAGGCCTGCGGGGCTAGGGCAGAGGCAGCACCAACATGGGGGAAGGTCCCCTGAGAACAGAGGCCGCAACCAGCCTGCTGGCCAGCAGTATCCACATCCAGCTCTTCAGGCCTGTAGCCTCCAGACTTCCAGCGACAGACCCCCAGAGGCGGCCACCACCAGGTTGCCCTCAGCACAGATCTGGGTGGGGAGGGATATAAGGAGTCACGGGTGCTCTGGGCACCAGGGCAGGGGGTGGGAGGCGGGCCTTACCCCATTCAGTACGTTGTGATGGTTATGGATGCAGATGGTCCTCGGTGGGTCTGTGGGCACATGCACCTGATGGGGGCAACAGGCCAATGTTAAGAGGCACACTCTGGGGCAGGGGTGGGCTGTCCTCGAGGCAGGGGCTGGGCCCAGGTCTCACCCGGACGGTCTTGTCAGTGGACGTAGTATACAAGGCCCCCAGCGAGTGTTTGACTCCTGTGATCTGAGACCTGTGGCCCACGTCGAAGGACTGCATGGTGGGGAGGGATGAATGACATTCAGGCACAGCTCTCCCAAGGCCAGCCCTCCACCACCACCCAGGACCAAGGAATAGGAAGGAGGCCCAGAGGCCGAGGCCCTTGGCAGACCCGGACAAGCTGGAAGCAGCCATTGCGGTTGGCGAAGACGTGCAGCAGGCCATGGTTGTCACCGGCCCAGAGCTGGGGCTCCTGGTAGGACATGCAGAGCAGGTAGGAGTCGAGCTGCGGGAGGGACAGGGAAACAGCTCAAGCCGTGCCCTGCCGGTCTGCAGCCTGCTCCCTTGGGGCCCTCAGAGAGGGTTTCACCTGCAGCCGCTGCAGGACACTGTTGGCTCGGCGGTCGAACACCACAAGTGTGTGGTCCTCACTGCTCGAGATGATGTGCCGGTCATCGGCCAGCAGCGCCAGCACTGCACTTGCGTGCAGGCGCCGACTCTTCAGCAGGGCTGGGCCCACTGCAGTGGCCATGTGTGGGGAGAAGGGACAAGGGCATCAGAGCCCCTCAGAGGCCCCCAGGCCTCCCTCCTCCCTGGCAAAACCCTAGGCCTGCTCTGTTCCCCACGCCACAGGTGACCCTGTCTCTCCCCTCCCACTCCAGGCCAGCTGGATCTAGGCCTCCCCAGGACCCCCAGGCCTCTGCTCCCCCACCCTCCATCCCATCTTGTGGTTCAAATCCCACTGTTTCTCTAAGGGCTTAGCTGACTAAGGCAAGTCCCAGTGAAAAACACCTCCACCTGTGGGCCTACTGGGACACTCTTCCATCCCCTGCCTTCTACTCCGGCTCTGCCTGGATAACGTACAGATTCTCCAGTTAAACTCAGTAAGAATGAATACACAAGCAAAAGAGGAGATTTATATGCCAGGCAGTAAGCTAGACCTTTGATGTCTACTCATGTATCTAATCCACCTGTTAACCCTAGGAAGCCAATGGTGTTATCACTGTCTCCCCATTAACCCTATGGGGCTGATGTCACCACTGTCCCAGTTTTACAGAGGCAGGACCTTCTCTGGGCCTCCTCAATCACGTGTGTTGCACCCATCACAGCACTGGTCACCCTGAGTGGTTAGTATGGGGTGATGTGCCTGCCCCCCCAGCTAGGCTATGAGTCCCATGAACGTCTTCTCCCCTGCATGACTCTGGAGAGCCCAGCAAGCCCTGCTCTCCCATCTAGGACAAGGGCCCCCAGCCCACCTCTGGGGTCATAGATGGTCACCTTCTTGTCATAGGTGCCTGTCACCAGGATGTCAGGCCTATAGGAAAGGCACAGCACGGCCGCCTTGCCCCTGGGGACACACACGTCACAGGACTAGGACCGGGGCTGGGGCCAGCTGGAGCCCTGCCTCCCCCGTCCCCCCTACCCATGACCCCTCATACTTTATCTCACCAAACTGCTGCCCATCAGCCGCCATGTCCCAGAGCTTCACCGTGCTGTCCCAGGAGCCAGAGCACACACGGTGGTCCTGGGCGGCCAGTGACCACACCCAGCCCTGCAGGACCAGAGCACAGCGTCACATAGGGGTGCCCTACCTCAGGGGCTGCGTGCTAGCTCAGGGCTTTTTATAAGAGCCCAGACAGAGGAAGGCTGTGACCTTCCTTGTTTTTGCAGATGAGGCTCAGAGAGGTCAAGAGACTCATCCAAAGTCACACAGCTTTTCCCCCTTAACACCCAATATGCCAGACTACAGTACAACTCTAGTTCCATACAATCATCACTATTTCATAACTCACTGCCATCAAGCCGGTTCTGACTCATAGCAACCCCTCCTTGGGTTTCCGAGGCAGTACCTCTATGGAACTAGATTGCCCAGTCCTCCTCAGAAGGAAGACTGGGGGAGACAATTGGCCCGGGAACCCAGAGCAACTATGCCACAAGTTGAGTTTAGAGCTTAGGACTGTGGGTATGTCCGACTTCAGAGACATGCACACTTCCACCCGGTAACATTTGTACATCAAGTCCTGAGGAGACTGAACTCCAATGGTGACTTGAGGAAACAAGACGATGTGTTTAAAAGTGGCACCTCCACCCTCTGACGGGCAAATCACGTCCCCTCCCTCAGATTCCTCATAGGCAAAATGGCCCCGTACCTCAGCAGTGAACATCACAGAATGCAGGCTCCTGACTGACTCTTTGCCAAACCCCCTGAGGCAGGTGCTGTGATGTGTCCCACTTTACAAATAAGGAAACCGGGACACACAGAGCTGAGGCTCTCATTCAAAGGCACATAACCAGCAAGTTATCGGGTGGGGATTTTTTTTTTTTTTTAATTTTATTTTGATTTGGGTGAAGATTTACAGAGTAAATTCACTTTTCATACAGCAGTTCACATATACTTTGTCTCATGTCATTGACCAAGATTTACAATGCAACAGCTCCCCTCCCACTTCCTCCCCATAGTTACCTCTTCCCAGTGACCATCCCTCCATACTCTTCTGTGTCCTGAGCTGTCTCCCTGTGCATAAGCAGCCCTTCCTTCTCCCAAGATTGTTCTCTCCAGGACGTGTGTCTACCTGAGGTAAGTGTTTAACTCACATGCCTATGCTTTGTTTGGCTGGAAACCACAGGTGTGGGTTCAATTCCAGACCTGAAGGGCAGCTAGGGGCCATACTCTCAGTGGTTCCAACAGGCTCTATTGGACTCGGGTGGGAATTTGAACCCAGTAGTTTGGCTTCAAGCCCAAGCCCCTGGCCACCAGCCTGGACCACCTCAATGACTGGCAAATGTGTCCCCCGCAGCCACTTCTCACAGAATGACAGTCATACTCAAGGCTGTCTGATTTCTAAGGGTAGTATTACCAAAAACAAACAAACAAAAAAAAAACCAACGGTGGCTGTCAAGTTGATTCCAAGTCACCGCCGTCCCATATGTATCAGAGTATAACTGAGCTCCGCAGGCTGTTGCCTTTCAGAAGTAGACCGCCAGCCTTCAAGGAGCCTATGAGTGTATATGAACTGCCAGACTTTTGGTAGGTAGCTGAGCACTTAACAGGTTGTGCCACCCAAGGACTCCTTCTTGGGGTTTCCCTGACATCTAATCAGCACCACTGACTGTCAGTGCCCGAGTGAAGCTCTCCCCCCGCAATCATCCTCCTAACTGCCCACTGGACAGAAGCAGAAACTGAGGCACAGACACTTCACACAATTCACCCAAAGTCACACCAACAAGGGCAGAGCTAACACACAAATCTGAGGTCTGGAGCCAAAACCCATGCTCTCAGCCACAACACCCTGCCACAAGCCTCAGGTCTGCTTCCATGCCTGGTCCCTCACCTTGTGGGTGCTGTTGTGCTGGGTGCCCAGGGCCTTGACCAGAACCCGGCTGGGCTCCACCCCCAGCTGCCGCAGGTCCCACAGGTTGACATTGCGATCCCGGGAGCCTGACAGACAGAGCGCCCCTCCCTGGGAGGAGAGGGGGGGAGATGATGTTGAGGACCACCCTGACCCACCCCGCCCGGCCCCCAGCTGGCCCCCCCTCACCTGAAGCAGCAGCACTGAGTCAATGGAAGCAAAGTGCCCGTCAGCCAGGCAGAAGTACTCAGCCCGACGTCCATCCTCCGCCCAGCGTGCCAGGTGCTGCTCCAGCTCAATGCAGGCGGCAGGCCAGTTGAAGTCCTCCTCTGTGGGACACCAGGAGCAAGGTCCCCGGTGGACAGGGACTCTGCCACCCACATCAGCTGGCCAATCACACCCCTGGCTCCAGGGAGCCTGGCCTGCACTGCACTTAAACAGACCACTATCTGAATCCCTCCCAGTCCACCTTGAGACCCCCTGTGTACTCACTCCTTAGGTGGGCCTAAGACTATTCTTCACCCTCATTTCCAGAAATTTGGAGAGCGGGAGCTACAGGACCACTTTCACAGGCCTAGCCCCCAGCATGAGACTATGGAGGGGGCAGTCTTGGAACACCAAGGTCTGACCTCAGCACCTCAACCCTCAGGCTGGGCAGAGGAGCTGGGGCCTCTTGACTAATGCACCCTGCTTCAGTCTCTGAACTGGACCCAGGGAAGTGTTTCTCAAACTAGTATCTGTAACTCAGGGAGCCTTGTCAAGATGCAGAATCCACGTCCAGGGGTCAAGCACCTATTTGTCAAGCTGGTCAGGAAAGTCTAGCCCAGATGCTTGGGAGGTAACACCCGGAGAATCACTGATCTCTGCGGAATCAAAGCTTTCGAGTTAGGATAATCAACTACTCCATTTATTGCTCAGGATGGCTCAAGGGCCTGAGAATCCAAGCGGTCACTGTCTCAGGACCAACCATATGAATTCAAGGTTCCCTTATCCTCCAGGGACTTGTGATTTGGGGGCCAGGGGGAGTGACCACCGGCCCCTGTCTATGACCCCAAGCTAGAACCAGACCTTGAGGACCTGTCGTTGCTGATGTCAGGGATATCACCTAGACTGGGCTCCAGGCTGCAGGCTCCGGACTCTGAGCCCCTGCCTCACCCCTCCTAGGTCAAGGCTCCAGAGATCAGTGGTTTTGACATCACCAATTGCTGACCAGGCCTCTAGACCTAAGGATTATTGGGTTTATCATGAATGCCAAGCTAGATTCCCACAGTCCAGGACTTCAAGTCCTGTGTCAACTGCCAGCCAGGAGTCAGGGTTTTGGTATCAACAGGCCCAAAGCCAGACGACCTTTGGATTCTGAGGTTAGGGAACCACCCCACCTGGTAGGTTTCCACAGTCTCAGGACCCCAAGTGCCTGCGTCATGATGCACTCAGGCGTCAGGAGCTTCCGTTCCATCAGTAACTACCTCAGCCTCCAGCCAAAGCCAGAATAGCAACAAAGCCTGCTCTGGGAGCTGTGTGGCCCCAGCACGCCAGTGCCCCCTGACCCCACTACCCTGTCCCAAGCTTGAGCTGGGCTGGCATACCCTTCCCCCCGGGAACGCGTACCTTCCACAACCGGGTAGGGCGCGCGTACGCGGCGCTGCGCGCGTAGCCTCCAGGTGACATGGTCACGCACGAGGTCGCGCAGCGCGTGGCACACGCGAGGCAGGACCTGGAGTACGAGGCGCGCATCCAGGTAGGCGCAAATCTCCAGCAGCAACTCCGGGGGGAGGCTCAGCAGGCCAGGGACACCTACGGCCGAAACCTTGGACGGTGCCCGCGGCTCCAGAGCAATGGGGGTCGCGGCGGGTAAGGGCAGCGGCGGGGCGCGCAGGGGCCCCAGGCCGGGTTTCGGTGGACTGAGCACACGGGCCACGTAGGCCTCGGCTTGTGCGTCGGGATCGAGCTCCGGGTCCAGGTCGTACTCCCAGGCGCGAGGATCGTCGCACAGCCCTGGGGACAGCTCCATGGCGGCCCAGTGGGCGCGGCTAGCCCGCCCTTGTCGGCTACGAACCCAGCGTCTTGTCTCCTAGGCAGCGTGAGGGCTCTTCCGGCGCATCCTGATGACGTTTATGCGTTCACCGAAAGCGAGAGGTTCCCATGGAAACTGACTTGAGCCACAAGGTCCGCTTGCTGGAGGAGTTTCCTTCTCCACCTGCATCAGCCTGCTGTACATGCTAGAAAATGGAGATTCTGTATTCCTGTATTTTTTTAAACAAAAAGGTTCTGTGGAAAGCACCTCTTACAGATACTGAGCTTAGAAACGGGAAAGCCCTTTTCAAGATCGCCCTCTGGGACAGAGTAGTGATGTGAACTTTTGTTACCTCCTTTTCCAGAACCAGAAGCTACACTGCACACAGGCCTCCATGAAATACTCTGAATGACCTAAACTCATGACAGTACCATCTCTTATTTAATGAAAGCCTTTTTGGAGCCTAGCAGTGTTAACTGATCCACACAATCATCTCTCAGAACAACAGCACGTGCTGTTCCCGATGCCTTTTTCCAATAGCCACATGGTTCTTCCAAGATCCTACATAAGATTGCAACATCTCCCAACATCCTTACTTCCTGCTGTATTTCTCTGTGGTACTGTTTTTTGTTACCTAGTGCCGCTCTGACAGGAATATACCACAAATGGGATGGCTTTAACAAACAGCAGTTTATTCTCTTACAATTTTGGAGGCTAGAAGTCCAAGTTCAAAGTGCCAGGGTCTAGGATGAAAGTCCCTCAACCTTGGGCTTTAGCTCTGCCCTTGGTCCCCGCCCACTGAAGCTGGAGGCTTTTTTCAGGCAGGCAGCTGCTGGCTGCTCAGGTTGACAAATGCAAGGTCAACAAGTTAAAAAGCACAGTCCTGATCATTCCAAACCACACAACAGGCCACTAATTCAAGTCCAGAAAAAGTTCCAAGATCAGCAGGGCATGCATGGCAGGCTGCTGAACAATGACTTGGCTACATAGAGGGTTCAAGCATGCCGAAAAGCTAGAGACCTTCCTCAAAGCTGGTTTGTTTTTTTTTTTCTTTTAATTGTGATTTGGGTGGAAGTTTACAGAGCAAATTCACTTTCCATACAGAGCTCACATACACTTTGTCTCATGACATTGACTACAATTTACCACAATGCAACAGCTCCCCTCCCACTTCCTCCCGATAGTTACCTCTTCCCTGTGTCCATCCCTCCATGCACTCATCCCCCAAGCTGTCTCCCTGTGCATAAGGAGCCATTCTATTCTCCCATGACTGTTCTCTCCAAGGAGGGTATCTACCTAATGGAAATGTTCACCTCATATGCCTGTCTTTTGTTTGGCTGAAAGCCACAGGAGTGGGTTCAATTCCAGACCTGAAGGGCAGCTAGGGGCCATAGTCTCAGTGGTTCCAACAGGCTCTGTCGGACCAGCAAACCTGGTCCCTTTTTTTTTTTTTTTTTTCTCAAATGATTTTGAGTTTTGTTCCACATCACTCTCCTACTCTATCCAGGATCTCCTACATAGATCCCCCTCCAAGTGGTTGACAGTGGCAGCCGGGCACCATCTAGTTCTTCTGGTCTCATAGTCGTATATGCTGAGGATCGCATGGTGTACCAGTCATCACAGCTGCTTCTTATATACTGGAAGAAGACCATATCTCTAAAGCATCTACTCAGTTGCTCCAGTAGATTCCACCATGGAATTGATGGTGCCCAGCCACTCAACCAGGCCCAACTAAGTTGACAACAAGCTTAACAGGTACTTCCCTCTGTGTGTTTTGCTACTGTCAATTTTCATCACTAGAATATATACATTATTTGTTGGATTAATACTTGCATAAAAATGCAGACTTCCAGAATGGTACTAGGAATTAAGGAGCTATATGTGTATCACCAGGAGCCCTGGGAATACAGTGTTTAAGCATTCAGCTGTTAACAGAAAGAGGTTCAAACCCACCAGCTGCTTTGCAGGAGAAACACATGTGGCAGTCTGCTTCTGTAAAGACTGTAGCCTAGTAAACACTAAGGGACTGGCAGTTCTAGTCTGTCCTATTTGGCTGCTGTGAGTTGGAATCGACTTGGTGGGAATGTGCATCAGCATTTTTTCAGATTTCCCACATTGATGCAGGTGGTTCTTGTGCCGTACCTTGAGATAGCAACGAGATTTTTTGAGGCTCGTGTGTGAGTTGTTAGGTACCACTGAGTCAGTTCTGACTCATAGCAACCCTATTACAACAGAACAGAACCCAGCCCAGTGCTGTGTCATCCTCACAATCACTGCTATGTTGAGCCCACTGTTGCAGCCACTGTGCCGACGCACCTCATCGAAGGTCTTCCTCGTTTTTGAGGATTCTCTACTGAACCAAGCATGATGACCCTTCCTTCTTCAGGGACTGACTGGTCCCTCCTGATAACATGTCCTAAGTACATGAGACAAAATCTCCCTATCCTCACTTCTAAAGAGCACTGTGGTTGTACTTGTTCCAAGTCAGATTTGTTCATTCTTCTGGGGTCCATGGTATATTCAATATTCTTTGCCAACACCATAATTCAAACACATCAACTATTCTGTGGTCTTCCTTATTCATTGTCCAGCTTTTGCATGCATATAAGGGGAGTGAAAACAACATGGCTTAGGTCAGGTGCACCTTAGTCTTCAAACTGACATCTCTGCTTTTAAATACTTTAAAAAAAAAAGGTCTTTTGGAGCAGATTTGCCCAACACAATACATCATTTGATGCTGCTTCCATGGACATTGATTGTGAATCCAAGTAAAATCAAACCCTTGACAATTTCAGTACTTCCTCCATTTATCATGATGTCCCTTATTAGTCCAGTTGTGAGGATTTTTGTTTCATGTTTTATAATCCATACTGAAGGCTGTACTCTTTGATCTTCATCAGAAAGGGCTTCAAGTCTTCTTCACTTTCAGTAAGCAAAACTGTGTTATGCAAATTATTGCAGGCTGTTGATGAGTTCCTCCAATCCTTCATATAGTCAGTTTCTTGGATTATTTGCTCAGCACAGAGATTGAGTAAGTATGGTGAAAAGACACAACCTTGACACACATCTTTCCTGATTTTAAGCCATGCAGTATCCCCTTGTTCTGTTCAAACACCTGCCTCCTGGTCTATATACAAATTCTGCATGAGCATAATTAATTGTTCTGGAATTCCCATTCTTCAAAATGTTATCCAGTTTGTTATAATCCACACAATCAAATGCCTTTGTACAGTCAATAAAACATGGGTAAATATCTTTGATATTCTCTGCTTTCAGCCAAAATCCATCTGACATCAGCAATGATATCCCTCATTGTGTGTCCTCCTTTGAATCCAGCTTGAATTTCTGACAGTTCTGTCAGTGTACTCCTGCAACCATTTTTTAAATATCTTCAGCAAAATTTTACTTGCACAGGATATTAACAACATTGTTTAGTAATTTCCACATTCTGCTGGATCACCACTCTTTGGAATGTGCACAGATATGGATCTCTACCAGTCAGTTGGCCAGGTAGCTATCTTCCAAATTTCTTGGCATGGATGAGTGAATGCTTCCAGTGTTGCATCCATTTGTTGAAACATCTCAATTGGCATTCCATCAATTCCTGGAGCTTTTTCACTAATGTGTTCAGTGCAGCTTGGACTTCTTCCTTCAGTCCATCAATTCTTGATCATATGCTACCTCCTGATGTGGTTGAACATAAACTAATTCTTTTTGGTATTGTTGTTGTTGATATGTGCCAGCAAGTTGGACCCGACTCATAGCGCCCCCCCCCCTTGGGTTTCCAAGGTGATATCATTACGGAAGTAGATTGCCCAACCTTCCTTCCAAGGAGTGGGTAGGGAGTTTGAACCACCAGCCTTCTGGTTATCAGTCAAGTGCCTTAGGCACTACCCTACCAGAGTTCCCCTTTTGGTATAGTGATTGTGCATTCCTTCCCTCGTCTTTTGGTGCTTCCTGCCTTGTTCAATATTTTGCCCATGTTGTTGTTGTTGTTTGCCGTCGAGTCGCCCCGACTCATAGCGACCCCTCCTTGGGTTTCTGAGGCAGTATCACTACGAAGTAGGATTGCCCAACCTTCCTTCCGAGGAGTGGCTGGTGGGTTTGAACCGCCAGGCTTCTGGTGAGCAGTCAAGTGCCTTAGGCACTATGCTACCAGAGCTTCTATTTTGCCCATAGAACTCCTTAATATTGTAACTTGAGGCTTGAAGGTTTTCTTTAGTTCTTTCAGCTTGAAAAATGCCTAGCATGTTATTCCCTTTTGGTTTTCTAACTTTAGGCATTTGCATATTTCATTATAGTCTCCAGGTTATGAAAATCTGATTTACAGACAACTCCTACCTGCCTTTTAATGTTATGTAAATTTGCCCTCAGTTTGAAATGATTAAACCAATCCCTGCTCATACCAAGTTCCTTATCACAATCATCTTCACTTACTGCATGTGCAGCTTTTAAATTAATGAAAAGGCTTCCAGCCGTTTCTCACACTAAAGCTAAGTTAGAACCATAGGCACCTGTTCCAACTTAACTACACATTCTTAAAGACAGTTAGGAACGGATCTTATCTGTGGGGACTGCTTATAATACTTTGTCTTCTTGAGCTACTCTTTGTCATCGTACAACTCATCTGGTCTTCTGTCATTAGTGATCAATACATCAAATCTGTTCTTGAGATGGTCCCTGAGTTCTGGTCATACTCTGGCTCTTGTGGACTTGTTTCAATCTTCAGCTTCGACTTGCGTGGACAGCAGCAAATGATGGTCTGTTCCACAGTTGGCCCCGGGCCTTTTTCTGACTGACTGAGCTTCTTCATCATCTCTTTCCATTGATGTTGGTTTGATTCCTGTATATTCCATCCAGCAAGGTCTACTTTTAAAGTTGTCATTTATGTTTTCTAAAAAAGGCATTCCAATGAGTAAGTTGTTGGTCTTGGAAAATTCTATCCTGTGCTCTCTGGCATGTTTTATCATCAAGAGCCTATTTCCCAACAGATTCTT